AGCTCCTCACCCACAAGAGAGCTGTGGGCTCCCCAGGAACACTATCCTGCTGAGCCCCAGCCGAGCCCAAGCAGCAGCCATGGGTGTGCTTTGGGTGCACTGGAGACCTGTACCTTCCATACCTCCTGTCTCCACCTCCACCGTACTCTCCTTTCTATAGGAACGGAACAGGGGCCAGGAGCTCAGGAAGCCCCTGTATCATGATGAGTCAGGATCCTCGCCAGCACTCAGCTGACATGTCACCTCTCATGTCACCCACCTAGTGTGATGGGCTCCCACTCAAACAGCAAATACCTCTTACAGGCTTTGCCATTCTCAATCTGTGCAGGAGTTACCCCAGCATGTGCCACAGTGTGCATGAGTTAACACGGGCAGTTGCAGCTCGCGGTGCTCCGGGGCAGGATAAGGCAGGGATCATGACCTGCTCCGGCTGCGTTTCCTTCCTCCAATTCAAAGCGCACTCCAGGCACTTAATGGCCAGTTTCTTTCCATTGCAATTCTGGTTAACTCATAAAGTGGCTAATTACAGGCCTGTAGCTGCCATTTGGAGTGGCAACAGTGCTGGGTTATGCCCAGGCACAGGAGGGAGATAACAGCACTGGCAGTGGCGTTGGGGCCAGAGGTTTTAGGGCCAGCCAGCCCAGGGGAACCCAGGGGAGCCACTACCCATTCATGGACCAGACACAGAGATTTTGGTGGGGATCAAGCACCAGGGCACCGTGTTTATGGATTCAGTGCAGGGATGGGGCTGATGGCAGCTTCTGTACCCTGTGCCCAGGGACCCAGCACCCTGCACATGGGGAGAGGCCATCCCATCACCCCTCTTGTCCCTGGGCACCAAATCACCCATCCTGTCCACAACATGCTCATCACCACATTGATGCTCTTGTCTGCAGCAGCCCTCATCAACTTTCTCATTCCTGGAGTCCACACTGTGCTATCACCCCTGCTGTTCCCCAGCACACTTTCAGTCCTGTGATCCCTTCTGTTCCCCCTGCCCCTGCCACACTGTCATCCCTGATACACCCCATCACTCCTCTTGTCTCCACCATCCACCACCAACCTCCCTGTCCCCAGTGCCCTGACCACACTGTCACCCACCTGACGCTGTGCCCCCCCGCGAAGCACCCGGCAGGGCTAAGCCGATTACCTCCCTTAATACCCCCATGGCCCAGAAGAGACATTTCAGGCAAACATTGTTGCACCTTCCCCTGTGCTGTGGGAAGACCTGGGCTCCCTGGGGACTGAGGGATCCCTGCGGTGGGGGACCAGAGCTGCCAGGAAATCACAGATCCAAAGGACCTGACCCTGCACAGTGCAAGCAGCAGGCCCCTGGCTCTGGAATCCCAGTCTCCCAACCCTGAGCTCCAGCTCTCCACACACTGGCACCCCCAGGGTATTGCTGGGGTGCACATGGATTTGTGAGTCCCCACAAAGCTACAGCAAAAGGGATGAGGGACTTTCACCCCATCTCTTCCATAAACTCTTCCTTGATGCTGATTCTGCAGCTGGAGTTATCAGACATTTTTCCACCCGTTCCCCCTCCTCAGGCCTGCAGACAGAGCCCTGTCCATGTCCCTGGCATGGGTACTAGCTCCTTGGAGCCTCGTGGGATGCCTGTGCCCCACATCCCAGCTCCTCCACAGGTCACCCCCACAAGGGCTCTTTTCCCACAGTGGGAGCCAGCTGAGCACATGTAACCCCAGATAACAAGGTGAGGACATTATCTCCAAGAACAAAACCACGTGGAAAATTAAACTCAGGAGCAGCACCCCAGCTGCTGCACGTAGAAACAACTGGTCTGCACCAGTGTGGCAGAGGACACCCCACTATGCACCATGGGAGGCTTGAAGGGATGGGGCAGCTGAGTGGGACCACTGCCCACCACTGCCACCACTCCGAGGGTGGACCCAGCCAGCCTTTCATGTGCCTCAAGAAAACACTGGGGCTGCTTCCTGCAGACCGACTCACAGGATTTCAGGACTGAGAGACCACTCCCTGCACTCGGCAGGGCAGCCAGGCCCCTGCAAGCACCCTGGGCACAGCACCAGTCCTGCTGTCTTGCTCCCAAGAGCGGCTTGGAGCTGTCACAGCTTCAGGGGTCAGCATGTAGGTCCCTGAGGCCACTGCACCCACTGTGTCCCAACCCTGTGCCCAGTGCAGCGATGGACAAGCAGGCAAGGAGGAAAAGCCGAGAGATAAACAAGCCCACCACAGGATGAGCCTGGGAACTTCCCAGGGAATGGCTCCTGCCTAGCCATGCCCAGCTGGGAACTTTGAGCACTCCCTGGACCACTGCAGAGCAGGGGCAGCCAGTATGAACACCTGTATGAGCATCTGTGCTCCCACCCATGTCCCTGCAGACTGGCGCAAGGAGGAGTAGCAGCGCAGAGCCAGCAGGTCAAACGTGGCCAAATGGGTCACTTGGACTGGAAACAACTCAGATTTTGCTGAGCATCTTCTCCAGATGTCTGGGATGTGAAGTGATGGCTGTGGTAGCAAGATTCAGGATTATTAAAAAATGGGGTTCTAGCCTGTCATCCCATTTGGAAAACATTTTTTTTGTTTGCAATAATAACAAGAATAATAACAGATGAAATTTGGCAACCTAGTTACTCAAGCGGGAAGAAATACAGCTCTCACTCATGTTCCATGAAAATGAATCCAGAAAAAGCAGCCAGGCAGGGCCTCTGCCCAAAGCCTGGTGTGATGCATACAGACGTGGGAGAAAGAAGCCCAGCTGAGGAGCAGCAAACAAACCTAAACCACCCTGCAGCACCTTCAAAGCACTGCTGCCCTTCATCCAGCTCAGATCAGGCTCACAGCAAGATGAGGATGTTACTGAGCCACGTGCAACTGCATCCCGGGAGATGGCATCTGCTGCAGGGGCTCTGGGTTGCAGCATCAGCCAAGGAAAGTGAGGAGGAGGAGGAGGAGATGCAAATCCTCGTCTGGATGGAGCTACAGAGGCAGGAGGACATGGGTATGGTGGTGCAGGACCTTCTCCCTGACTCTCTCCTTGCCAGGAGCCAGTTTCATCAGCATACCAGAGAGCAGGAGCTGCTCCTAGGCCTGCCACCTTCAACCTCACAGCCATCCCCAGAGAAAGCCAAGGCTTGGCCCCATCTGCCTAGGAAAGGCAATTATAAAGTGAGAAGAAACAGCCAATGCTTCCTGTGCCCCACTGCACTCAGAGGAAGGTGGTGGGGTCAGGACAGAGACTCCTTTGCCTGCCCAGCATCCCAGGGATATTTCTTCCACCATCTCCAGGAGAAACCTACCTGGAGTTCCCCACTGCCACATGCCACACAACCTCGGACCCCTGGCAATGGGATGCTGCTGTTGGGAACAGTGCAAAGACACCATCCCCAGCTTTTCTCAGGGGAAAGAGGTTGAGCTGAAAATCCAACCCCATGTGTGCCAAGAACGTGCAATATCCCAGCACTGGAACAGGCTGCTGATGCGGTGCCAGGCCACTCACACTCACCTCACCTCCAGCATCCTTCTCAGGCTGGGAAGGGAAGGGAAAGAGAAACTCTCACCACCCCCCCTGACAGCATCCAGGCACAGCCACCCCAGCAGCCCCTCAAGGAACCCAACCAGCACTGCCAGGCCAGATGATCCCACACTAACCCCTTAAATTCAGGAGGAGTGGAGATTATACTGGATCACTGGTGGCTCATCCGAGCTGCCTGGATCTCCATCCTCCCATCTCAGCCTGTGTCAGCAGTACCTCTGGCTGGGCCATCCCAGAGAAGGAAGCTTCCCTCTGGCTTGTGGGAAGGGGGTGAGCGCAGGAGCATCCCCGCCACTGCTTCCAACCCTCTGACATGGAAACACACAGGCGTTTTGATCCACTGGGAGATTTAAAAATTATTGCAGCTTCCCGCCATCCCACAGAGCAGGCGGGAGCACGGCGAGGCCACCCGGGTCCTGGCTGCCAGCAGACTGTCTGTCCGGCGTCCGCCTGCCCGGCGTCTGTCCTGCCAGGAGCCAGAGCGAGGAAACAATATCGGATCCGCAAACAATGCTGGGAGCCCGGAGGCCTCTCCCGGCTCCTGCGCCAGCGAGGCGGAAAGCACCTGCCCGAGCCAGGCCGTACCCAGGCAGGGCCGTGGCACCTCCCCGAGGGCTTGCAGCTGGCGGGGGTTTTTGAGTCGCTGTTCGTGCCCACGATAGCCCCGTGCTCCCCAGCAGTGGGCACAGAGCAAGGGGACACGGAGCATGTCCAGCGCCAGAAGCCCCAGGAGGGGAGATCCCCTAACCCAGACCCCGAAACTCAAGCAAATCAAACCTGAACACCCCGAAACAACCCTTCAGCAGACAGCAGGGCAGCTTAGGGCGGTGCTCCACGGGAGGAGGCCACTCATTCCTTCTGCCCCGGCGGAGAGCAGAAATGTCACCGTCACTGGTGTAGCAGGGCGATGCTGCGGCTCCTCCCGGGGCAATGAGGCAGATGGACAAACAGGGCTCCCTCCAGCGCAGCCCCGGCGGCTCCCCGAGATGGCTCGGTCACTGCAGCACCTTTATTTTTTTCTTTGTTTCGGTGTTTTTTGATGTTGTTTTATTTTTTTTCCTACCAATAAAGGTGCTTCATGAGGCCCGCTCCCATGACTATGTGCTCCTTCCCCACTCCAGGATCCACATCTGTGGGTCCCTCCAGCCCCCCAAACAGCTGCTGGGGACAAGCCCTGCGGCGCTGCCACCTGCCAGGCCCCTGCCTGCAGCAGCGGGCAGGGGAGTGACGAGGAGGCGCTGCCCGTCCCCGGGGAGCGCTGCGGGGTGGGAGAAAGCCCCGCGGGGCTTCGTGGCAGGGGCACCTCCTACCTCGCTTCCACCCAAGAACACGAACACCCACGGATGCTGATCCCTCGTGGGGATGGGCATAATGGGAAAAGAGGGGCAACCGCACAGGGATCGTCGTGGGAGGGGACACGAGCATCCGCGGGGGAAGGGCGAGGACACGAACACGGGAGTGCGGGGAACGAGGAGGAACTCACCGGCACGGGCGAGGCGCAGACGGAAGGATCCGAGGGCGGCGAGCAGCAGCAGCGCTCCGCAGCGGGCGGC